AAAGGCAACATCGCTTGTGTTTCCGCTGAAGTATCTCAGGTGGAATACATTGACGTAGCAACGTCCCTGGAGAAAGTAACGGCAAGCTACTTCAATAGTAAACCCTACAGTAATCTAATAGAAAAATAAAAACTTCAAATAAAATGCAAAGCCTACTTTGGAGAACTATATTCCAACAACTGCACACTCACACGTGAAATTATTCATTCCGCATCAAAATTCGCAACTCTATCGTAGAGTGATTGTCACGGCAGCCGTCCGCGCTATTCAGAACAACAGAACGGTCCGCAAATAGACGAATACATTGTGAAAGTGAATATTCATTTGTTGAATAAACAAAGATTCTGTTCAGAGATGGAAATTGCCAATTAAACACCGGAGGATTTGCCGGTCAGTCACTTTTTAATGTAAACATCGGAAGTAATACGCTAAACCATATTCGCTGTATGATAAATTGAACTTCGTAATTCATAAGAGTTCCGCAAATACGCACATGAAAGTATTTTTGGCGAATAGACTAATGTTTTTTTAGGAAGTGAATGAACCCGTGATGCAGGATTCACGAGAACGTTTAAAAAGAATCAGATCAGATGATTTTAAAAATCATTTTTATTGTTAATTTCATTTTTTTGTATTTGCTTTACGGTAGTATAATTGCTACATATTCTAGATAATTCACAATATATAGAATATTATTTTACATTTACGACACAAAATTGTTTCTAACCATTGATTTCGTCCTTTCACCTTTCCCCTCACTCATTGCTGCTTTTACCGTTCATTAATCACGTATTCACCACTCCTTCAATTGTGTATTCGTCCATTAACTCAATCGTGCAATCAATCAGTCGTTAGTGCGTTCATCAATAATTTCTTCCTTTATGGATCAATTCCATTCACCCATTCCTCCCTTAACATTTCCTCCTCTGTATAGTGAAACAGACCCAACCTCAAGCTTAAATTCTAACACAATTTAAATAACAGCTATCAAGGAGGGGTTCATGAAATATCTTCACTAGTTAAAAAAATTTAAAATGTTAATTCTGCAATATTTAAAGTTTTTGTAGAAACGAATTATTTTTTAATATGACAAGTATTTTTATTCCATTAATCAAAAAATCCATGAATTGACAGGTTCGGGAAACTTTATTGTAATTGTTGCTGTTTCCTTCTGACCAGCAATCAGGGGTGGATAGAGCTTCCAGTGTAAGGGACGGTAAAAGATGAAGCCACTAATGCACTTCACAGCTTAACTGCTTGTACGATGGAGGTTTTGTAATGACTTAAAAATCTTTGGACTAGCTGCTTATTATCAGGTAAATTAATTATATTTGTAAAAAAATCCTTAGTAAATAAAAATACAAACTTTCCCCTATCACGGAAGTAAATCACGAGTTGAACAAATAGTGAATATCATTCTACATTGCGACTATATTTTATTAGTGTGCCGGGATCGTGGAAAATTCTCCTCGGCCGACGGGCCGTCACTCGCCGGGGAACCCCCTTGTAGACGGGAGCGTTGCAAGGTCTCGCCCCGCGAAAAGCATGCTTTCGAGACTTCTTGAATAGTTGTGGCTCGCTCGATGTTCTCTCAAACTGAAAGTGTTTTTCTACGACACATACGTAAACTATGTCAAACCGCTATATGCATCTTATCCTGGTGTTTTTCTTCTATGGTTTGTAACCTTCACGCTCTCCTGATCTGACTGCGTGCGATATTTTTCTTTCGCGATTTCTGAAAGTCCGCATATATGCGACAAATTCCCACACGGAAAAAGAAATAATGCACAATATACAGGAGGAACACATCTCTGCAATACCAAAGGGGATCCTTTACCGAATGAATCAGAACTTATTTAGATGTCAAAAACGTATCAGAGCCGCGGTGAGAAGTTCCAGCATCTTCAATAACTTGAGTTCAATTTAAACTTTCCGGTAGCGAAAAGCCACCTTCCCTCATTCGCGATTATTGCGACTGCCCCCTCTCAATATCCCCGCAATCCGTGGTCTCGTTCGCCGACGCCAAATTCCCGCGCGACCGGCACATTTATGAAACGGTCGCACTGCATTTTGACCTATTCATATCTAAATGCACGTTTAAACGCGGAAGAAATGTTGTTGCACGTAGTGCAGCAAAACAAAAAAAATAGCATTGCAATAAAAACTAGTGGTGCTACAGCAGCACATTCTTTCTCGCGCTATTTCTAATTTTGCAATTTTTGAAAATTGAGAGAGCTCAACTATAATAAAGCATGCACGACGACACGGACAGACAGACGGGCGGGCGTTTCTTCGTCAGTCAATTTTTCGGTATCAAGGACCAATTTTTCGGTATCAAAAAACATTGTTTCTGAGGACATTTAAAACATGTTTCATCCCCTTTATCGTTACCAGGGACCGTCAATAAGAGATGTTCTGCCCAAAATTCGTCATTTTCCGGCCCACGACTACAATATTTTCTCTTCTTTCCCAGTAAATGCGAGAAAGTAAAAATCTACATCATAAATATTACAGTTGAAGAAAGTCGCGTTGTGGGTTTAGTGGGTGGACAGATCGGAGGGCACGAATTGCGCGGAGTAAGTGAGGGGGCGAGGATAGGAGGTGTGGGCGAGGGGCGCGAAATGAGATGAGGGAGGGAAAATAGCGCGGCGAGCGGAGGGGAGAAGGGCGACAGGATGGGGGAAGGATGACCGGTGGGGGAAAGGTGACCGGAGGGGTGAAGGGTGAGCGGAGTAGGCAAGGGTATGCGGAGGAGGCAGGGTGAGCGGTGGGGGCGAGGGTGAGCGGAGGGGGGAGTAAGTGAAATTTGCGGAGTGAGCATTAAAGCCTGAGCGAGAGGTGCTCCCGGAGGGGAGGAGTGAATTGAATTGAATTGAATTGAATTGAATTGATGCATTATTTTACGTGGCGAGACTCAGACCATGAGGCCTGCTCTTCCATGTGAATACGCAAATTTCGCTACGCTCCTTTCACCAAATAGCGGAGAAAGAAGGTATTTCTTGGGCGACGAAACAGGCGATTTGAATGTAGCTCAGGGGCTTCATTTAGGCATGCACTAAATCTCAGTTAACATGGGGTAGCCGGCTATACTTCTCCTTCGCAGGAAGGCGTACTAAGATTTTTTCGCCCCCAAAAAAATCCACGACTTCGATCGTGATTCAACCCGCAAACTGGGGTATAACAGACAGATACCGCTACACCATCGCCGCCGCAAGCGCGGAGGGATGGAGGGTGCTGAGTGAGCTGAAGAGACGGAGTGATACGAGGGGCGGAGTGAACTTTTTTTAAAAAGCAGCTTACTCGTAAAAGTCATTTTCGAGATGGCTTTATAACAACCCGGCCAACGGGGTAAGTGCAAGCGACCTAAGTAGTTGCTGGAGTAAGAAATCAGAAACAGCGCAATGGGACTTGAAACATGAATTTTGTATTTTTGCACACGCAATACGCGCGCTAGTTTGCTAAAGTCTTATGACCCTCTTTTTCTCTCTTTACGTTACAGGATTGGCAATAGATGGCCGTAAGGGTAGGCATGGTAACACCGCAGTGTCGTGAAAGCGCATTTCACTTCTCGTGCGATAAACTGTTGAGGCCCCGAGCGCTCACGAGGCTTCTGATTGGCCGTCGTCGGTGGTGGCGGCGACGCCGCCGGCCAGGCTCGGCCGATGCCTAGAAAAGCACTTCGCGACGCGCCCGCTCTCGTGGGTTCCAGCGTAAGGCTTCGAAACCATGGCGACCTTTGCTCTACCAAGCGCCGCACTCTCGCTCTTGCATCCGAGCCATGATCCAAAGTCATGATTCTTTGCATCATGCATCAAGCCGCACGCTCGTTACACGCAGTAAGCGCAAATAGCCGACTTCCATTAGTGAATCAATTGTCTCTAATGATTTACTTTCTCTACATTCATAAAGTGATTTGCCTCCTAGAAAATGTGAGTCGCGTACACAATGGTATTGTAAAAACCTCATTAATAATATTTTCAATAATGTATTTTTTAGACTAAAATACTCTTACTAAGACTAGTTTCAAAGTTAAACAATGTGGCAGCATTGACGATGTTTCAATTTGTCGGAAGTATGACTGTGTATTATGATCTTATACAAAATGTGTACTGTCATTCTACATGACATGCATGTATTCTACGATATAGATGAACAGTGCTTTATGAACATTTTCAATATTAATGATAATTCTGGGGGATTCAGAGGTATGTTATAAATTCTGTCTGAAATTTCTTGTAATATTCTGAAATTAAATGAAGTAAGTAAAACATATTTACTGTATAAGTAGTTCACAATCACGTCAAGGCAGCCATTGTTCCTTCCAATACATCTCAAAACGTAGACCAATGTAGTTCAAAATGTTAATTCGTGAAAGAGCGCGGAACGTTTTGTTACAATTGCATGCTCTCACACCGATCTCAATGATACGCAGCATACATTGTGTTTGAGCGCACTGAATTCCATTTACCTCAATTTACCATTCAGCCTTCGCACCGACAGGGCACGACTCTCTCCTTAATCCTTACAAAGTGGGTGGTGGAAACACATGAAATGAATGGATATCACCCGAGCTGTAAAGGTGACAAATTATCCTACAGTCGCTTTGTTGCGTTGTAGGGAGCTTTCATACAAAATTGTCGTTGTGTCGAGGGGAGAATATTCTAAAGAGACAATTTGCCCGTAAAAACATACTGACTTGTAATTTACAGAAACACGTAAATACATCACACAATCGAACTCGATTACAGTCGAGAAGGAAGAGTTTTCGCATTCATTATACATTTTTTGTGAAAAAACGTGTACCTAACATAATATCCTTTATGCACACACCATGAAAGCAACCATTTATGTACTGTTGTTCGTCCGTAAAGTTAAGGTTTCACGGATCGGGTGAGTAAAAACCCTTTTTCCGAATTACTGCGGTAAAATCTGCGGATGTGCTGCATAATAATACGTAGAACATAGTTGAATACTTCTAGACAATTTACGATCACACTTACCTTTACCAATGGACATGATAACAATAGTTACGGGACTATAAACATTTACATTTCGTATACAAGATGCAAAGTTTATACCTAGACAGAAAGAATATCTTTGTATTTCAGTGTTTCACAACACTCCTTTACCAATCATGTTCACAAACCTTCACATTTCGGCCTCGATACATTAACTACTATTACAGAAGTCTCGCGTTATAATATAACACCGACACGTGTATTTGAAAATGGTTGGTCAACTTTTTCTTCAAACCCTTTTCGAGAACTTGAATTAATTTCCTGTTCCTTAATGTCGGTTATTCACCAATTCTTTCTTATTTTCAATCTCTCCTATTGATTCTTAAAGTATGAAAAATCATTTTAAAATATACATGATCTATGAAGTTTCTGAATGATCTTCGCATTCTATTTTTTCGCATAATTTTGTTTTTCAGTAACTTCTTGATTTATATACCGCACAAACATTTAAAAACTGTGTATGACATATGAACGAGATATACAATTTGCGCACGGTCTCTAAAGCTCTGTGTCACCACGAGAACTAAGTCAGCGTTAGGGGCGACGCGGCCCGAATTTTCGGCGAACGATAAAATGAACACCCGTATAACAAAATACTGTAAAGAGACGGATAATAAAATTATTTTATCAAGACGATCAGCAAATTGTTAAAATTCGCATACTGTATAGACACGGTTAGTACATTAAATACAAACGTCTCTACAGTTCATCTCTACTAGCACTTTCAACGAACATATTCACTTAAGTAGATAGTTAAAGCCAAGCTTCTATCACCGATCTAATTACATAGGTATGTATAATTGTACCCAAACAAATTATCCAAGACAATAAGAGATCGTAATACTATTTAATATACTACTAATATACTACTATTCCTGGCTGCAAACGAACTCAGAAACAGACTACGAAATCGGTAAACCATTATATTTATCAGGTGGTTTCGCACGGCACCATTCTAAATACGATACCTCCTGTATTTAAATAGCAAGCGAACAATGAATATCGTGTGTACATCTTTTTCTACGTAAGCAATTCTTTCCTAGAGATTATATTGCATCTCTATTCCCAAGTACCTTCCAAAACGACTGTAGTTACGACTAAAGTTAAATCACGAAACACGTTCCTAACCCTTTTTTGTCGCTGGGCGAATAAACAAGTTGTAAACTGCATGTGCCCGATGCACATTGCGCACACGAGCGCACATTCCGTTTCAGGGCACGTCCCTCTTGCATATTCATCAACTGTAAACTTGTATGCTATATAGCACATTTCAGGCCGTCATAAAGCTATAAAAATCCGGTTGTTTCCGTATTATATTGCCACCTAACGGATGTATTCTCATCCGATACATCTAAAACAAAAGTATACTTTGAACTACTCGCCGAGGTCAGATCAGTACCTATGAAACCTATGTATTGAGTCAACTATATTGTCTTCCATTTCGTAATATATTATTCTTTACATTTCATCCCTGATTTTTATCTCAACTGTTATACTTTTAATCAGCAGCGCACCCAACTTGAGGGGACTTATTGGTTTTCACTACCCTCCCCAGAAGTATCTTCTAACGAAAATCTCTACAAATGAAAGTTATTCATTATAACACTTGTTAATGTTATAAATTATAGATTAATAAATGAAAATACATTGACTATTAAGCATTAAATAATTAGTTGTAAAAATATTCAAATCCACTGGGCACTAAACTAATGGGAGATTTGCTGATAATATCAATGAGTTGGACACCCATACAAAAATTCATCAAACGTGACACGGTCATCATTATCATGGGAGGGTAGAATGACATTAAATTGGGAGGTCACTTTACATCTGAGCAATACGTTACGTAACGACAAATTACACGTGCCACCCAAAACACGAATATTATACTCTCGACTCTGCCTCTCTGGTAAAACAAACACTATGCAAAAAATTAGACACGCAAACAACCAACTGAAAGTGCATATGAGAAACACAAATGTTAAACTGTTTAAGATAAACTTTCTCTCAGGAAAATACTTCAATCTGCACGATCTTTAATTAAACCTTGTCTGATAACATGAACTCGATAGCGAGCTTTCAAAACTCAACCTTTCACAATTTCGGCCGTTTCTTGCCAAGACCAATCTCCACCAACACCTAGTTATCTCCCAACCTCCATCCCCCTTCGGACCCAATTACCTAATCCTTGTATTATACCTCCGATTATGAATTCCTGTACACCTATCACTTCACCTGCCTGATTTTCAGCTTCTGCGAGGACACGATACTGCCTTCTATAGGGCAAACTCGTGATAAAAATGAAATAAATAGCAAAATTAGTCAGACGCAACACAAAGGTATCCTTGTAACCCTTGCGAAAATAGAATACAATCTAAGTGACAAGAAGATTTTACCTTTCAAGACATTGTTTTATCTCATAATGAACTAAACACACTCCAAAATCCTATTTTTATATTGTAGGATCATACTGTCGAGCTAGGGCCGTGTATATAGAGATTCGTTTATTTACGTAAGAAATTATATTGATTCTACCTTCGTCTCAGAATTCAATTTATATCCAGTTAAAAATGTTTTTGAAATGACAATCGTACTATTTAATATGCTCAAAATTATCTTGATTTTCATTTACAGACCTTCCACAAAGCGAACCGTAGATTATAACACTTTCTTAGAACACTTTCTTAGAAATTTAAGATAACTCTGAACAAAATTAGTAATCACACTTTTCAATCCATTATTTTATTTGGAAATTTCAACAGTCATTTTCTGAGCCAATTTCGCGAGAAAAAAAAGCATTTCTCAATTTAGTCTATTCTTTTAATTTAGATATTACAGTGAGTGTACCTACACGTAACTGTTTTAAATGATAATTTACAAAAAGAATAGATATGAAATAATAACGAATAGTCTAGGATCCAGTGACCATGATTCACAAATTCTTACAAACACGAGTATCTTGAACTACGACACAATACATAATGCACACACATCATTTACTAAAACCAAAATACATTATTTATCGTCTACTTGCAGCAGGAATCGTCGAACGTAGTTTCTAACGATACAGACACAAACTAAAAAGACAATTTACATTTCTCAAAGCTTTCATTTCATTTTAATGCGTGCTTTCCTCTTAAAAAGAGGAAATTAAACATTTCACAGAAAAGCAACATTTGAATACCACGAATTTGAACATCGTGTAAAAACAAACAGAATCTCTACTTTATTTCTAAACATAACGCGCAGCCCGGTTACCACGCCTACTTCCGAAAATACAAAAGCACTTTAAAGAAAGTGGTATCACAAAAAAAAATAATGAAAATGATAATGATTTTTGAATTTCAATAACAAAACTAAAACTGTGTGGAATGCCGTAGAAAAACGACAACATAATTTCCATGCTTTGTAGAGAGTGTTGTTCTGAAGAAAATTCGCCAAGACGTAAGCAGTCCAGTAAAATTTGAAAGTCTCTTCAACTAACACTTTTAGAGAATTGCGGTTGATCTCACGGATGTACTAAAACCACTAAATTCAACATCATTCGCTGACAAAAAAACTGACACTATGGTTGTCTACGAAAATTCATCCAGCGCAAACTCTCGAAATAAGTAAGTAAACTTAATATTAAATATTCGACTAGTATACATGAATTTCTGGAAATTTCTCCTTCTTCTCCTTTATTGAAAGATCATGCATCTGCATTTATACAACTGTTAACTGATATTTTAATGTTTTTTATGGATAGGAATATTTTCAAAACTGCAAACATTTAAGCCACTTTTTAAAAAATCAAACAAAAATAAAAATAATGAAATTAATAATAGCAATATAACATTAAAAATGGTATACCAAGTTTGGCCAGTACCTTTCGTAATCGCAATATATACTAAATGACTCAGTAATACATATCTTAGTAATTAATTCCCAGATACTCTCCACGAATAACAAATCAGAGGGCAATATTTAACCTCTATGGGAAATCTGGCATACGTTTTAGATTTATGCACCATTTACTTTACCCGATGTCTCCATACGGTCACGGAACATGCACTATTCTCTTCGTATTTGTTCTGAATGTAAAATCGACACCGGACTGTTGACAACAACGAGCGCCCAGGGGCACATCGGATCCTTGCACAAATTATTGAAGCGTTTTTCAACCACTTCTGCTCCAATGGAATTATTTAGCAAATTTCAGTGGATTTCTTTCGTACATTTCGCATATACTCGCACAAAAATCACTGTCAGTAAGATCAAGTGATGGGAGAAGCCACGAAAAGATCACACCTAAAGATCTATCCATCACAAAAAGACAAGATTCAGGGGTGCTGCAGCTTGTCTGGAAGTTTTTTTAAAAAAATTATATATTCTCTTTCGGCTAAAGGTCTTTTGAGGGGTTTCAGTTCTACATGCTGACTTTTGGAAGTTTTGGATATGTCTGGAGTGTTTCTGGGCCAAGGGTCAACGGTTTCATTATGGATTGTAACGTACGAAGTACTAATCAGAAACGATGGAAAAGCATCGCGCAGTTGCGCCAGAGCGGACTCGCGGGAGCGTCGCTGGAGCACAGCGAGGGTCGATTTCGACGACCAATTTCTGCGCCGGACGACGACATGAAGTACCAGGGCCCTTTACTATCTAGTATCGAACTTGATTTCGTCGAACTTAGATTTTTGATTTAGATTTATTTAGTCAAATTATTACTTAGTATTATTATTCAGTCAAAAAACAGTAAAAACTGCATGTTACCTATTGGGGAGAAGATTATATGCGCACTTTCATTTGAGTTCCAGAATCCCTTTCCATCTTTTTAACTATAAATAGTTCAAGGATGAGAGAAAGTTAAAGATAAACAAATAAAAATAAAGTTTAAAAAGCGCGAGATGAGCAACGTTTGGAAAACTTGACATTTTCGTTCCCGAGTTACAGAAAAACGTATTTTCAACGGTAAACGAACTACAGTTTTGATTTTTCTGCATTGCTAACAAATAAGTA